CTTCCTTTCTGCTTCCTGCCCTGTGCTCTCTGCCCAATCTGATGCTCTGCACCTTGCCCCCACCTCTGCTTACATTTTAATCTTACCTGTGCCTTCCCCATTCTGGTCCATACCACACACAAAGACTAGACTGCCTGTGCAACTTGTGGCATGCATGCTGCAGGTTGGCTGTCCCTATTTTACAGGATTAATTAATGCGACAAATTTGTAACTTATGAGATCTGTCATGTGGATTCAAAACATTCAAGGAAAATTTCCAAAAACATTTTTCATATTGCTTACAGTTCTCAAAACACAGCTGAATGTAGTGTGACAGTTATCTAGAATACTGATATTTATGTTCCCTTTTTTAAATGATATGTTTGACAATTTTCTGCATGAAGTTCAATGTTAATTTAAGGGATATAAACTTGGCTTTATGCAAAGCTCAATACAGCCCTAACTGTGGAGCTGGCAGGGTGGGTTTCAGCAATTACTTATGAATGCTCAATGTGATTGTGAAAATGGAAAGAATTTGGAAGACAAGGAAGTAGTTATTCAGACTATAATTTAGGCAAGACATGGGGGCAAAGTACTTCTGCTTACCTTTTGAATCTTTAAGACCCACATTAGGGAGAGACGTTGGTTTTACATGTCATTCTGAAATGGTCATCACTTAGTAACCTGCTTGGATGTTTCTCCAGTAGGGAGTAAGAAACAAGTACTGCCTAATGGACTCAACTGTTCTAGCCATTGCACTTGTTTTAAGCCTAGATGGCGTTGGCAAGAGCCTGAGGCACCCAGTGAGGAAGAGACTGACAGCCTAGTTGCTTCTGTTCACAACTCTCTCATAAAGAGCATTAGTCAGATTGAAACTAGTATTGGTCGCTTTTTGTTTTATGTCAAGTTCTTTCCACTAAAAGTTAACTACAAAATGAAAGTAGGCTACAGTCTTTTGGTAGACATATTTATGTGTAAAGAGCTTGATTGACAGAAAATGTGATGTTTTTCTTTGAAGTGAAGACAATAAATGTTTATATATGGAAGGGTCAACAGAAAGAAACCTACTTAGAGCGTACAGGGGTGTAGGTTGTAGCTGTGTTGGTCTAAGGACATAGGCAGACAAGGCTCTTTGGGTAAATCTGATATCTGTTATTAGACCAACTCAAATAGTTGGAAAAATTCTTCTCAGCAAGCTTTCAGGTATAAATACCCTTCATCAGGCTGAGTTAGCATCTGCAGTTGGTATGTGCTCCTCCTGGATAGAACAAATAGTAAAGAGGCCAGAGGCTGGGTTGCTTGCAAGACAGGCAGTCAGTGCAGATGTAAATTGATGAGTCAGTGGGTGAGAGACAGGCTGGGGACATGCTTAGAGCATAGTCATAGAGACAACTTAGAACATAGCATTCTAGCCAGTTACCCTCTGTGGTTTAAGGGAATAGCAAGCCAGTGGAGGGGCTTAAGGGAGCCCACAGGAACGGAATGGTAGAGAAAGAAGATAACTCCAGTTCTTAACGACTTCTGGCACTGAATGTACTGGAGCCATGAAATAAAGAGCTTAGGATGACAGGAGAACTTGACTGGATTCCAGAGAAAACTTGAACATACAGACAAGATTTAGTTGTGAGAGGGAGGAAGTAGTGAATTTATGGATTGATACAGGAAAAAAAAAACTAGGTTTAGCACAAGTTTAAATGGGAGGGGAGTTGAAAACGACCCAAAGCTTGGGAAATGAAGTAACCAGGAAGGTGATGTCTGAAGATGTGCTTGGCACATCTTGGCTTTACTTTTAACTTGAAGGAGTGATTTGATGCCCAAAAGAATATTAGTAAGGAATTAAGTGGCATGAGACTAGACAGAGGGAATTAATTTAGAAAGAAAGATACAGGTTTGAGAGTTGTTCATATAAAGATGGTTACTTAAATTGTGGTGTGCAACCTCTTCTTTTACTTCAGCATTGGAAAAGAAGCACAATCTAGCAAAAGATGATCACAAAATATGGAAAACTTTAGGGGTTTTTTTTCTTGAGGGTTTCACTGGGTTTGGTTTCTCCTTATTAGTTCTAGTAGTATACACAGATCAGGCACCCTGAGGTACTATGCAAAGTATGAGGGAGCGCTCTGTTTTTAAAATAGGTCAGGGCAAACAGTTATTTCGGGTGGAGGGCCACTTAGTGAGTTTTGGCAAGCCATCAAGGGCCGCATGACAGGCAGTGAGGGGCAGATAAATATTAATTTTCTACATTTTTAGGGACCCCACAGGACGGATTGAATGGCCTGGTGGGCCGCATCTTGCCCACCCCTGGAATAGGTCCATAGACTTAGCTAAGTATTTTTCAAAGAGCTATGGAGAAAGGAGCTGTCCAAAAGTCTTGGGAATGTCCATTTTCCTTAAGGCAAAGAAAATGCACCCTGCAATAGCTTCTGCAATCACTGCACTAATACAGCCTCCTTTGTATGTTGTACATTGTCTCTAGAGAGGGAAGAATACAATACAGATTAAATATCTGTATTTGTTTAATCTGTATTTGCATTTTTGCCACAAAAATGTTATCGAATAGTTTATTTTTATTGATTTGCCACTCTGGTGGGAATATCAAGCTAGTCTGCTGTACCTGTTATGGCTGGATTAATTTGGAAGCATGTTCTGCAAGGGTAATGTTGCAAAATAGCTGCCTGAAGTAAGGGAGGAAAGAGTGAAAGTCTAGAACTGTAAAATCTAGAGCAAAAAGTGGAAGATTTTGGGAGGTGAGAAGGTCACTTAAAAACAATTAATTGAAGTAAACAGGTTATTGAGTTCAAGTTACAAAAAAATGCAAATAATTTACTAGAAAAAATAAATGCAATTCTTATTGTTTATACCAGGGGTTGGCAGCCTACAACCCACAGGTGGATCTGGCCATTTGAGTGATTTTTATATTACTCATGAAGCTCAGATATTGGCAGCAATTCAATGGTGGAGATAGGAGTTTTCACACATGGTGAGGAGAAGTAGCAGTGGTCAAGTTAGAAGCACCAATCCATCTTGAACCAAGCTGAGTATTTTTTCAGACTGCCACTTCTAAAAAGGTTCCCAGCTTTCAGTCTTACATAGTGCTGTTTATCTGCAAACACAAGACAACAGGGCTTAAATATCAGAATGTGTATTTTTTTTCACAGGTAAAAAGTGAGGCATTTAAAGATTCAGACCAAAAGTTTAAGAACAGTCATGAAGACCTTCATTTTTTATCCCCCAACCTGAGTTGTATAGAACCTATTTTCAAAGATGGTACCATTGCTTAAATTAATGATAGTTGAACTTGCAGGTGATCTAAACTTTGGTATCAATTTGGAGACCCAAAAATTGAGGGGCCAAAAGTAAGTGAAACCTTTTTGAATTTGGGGACTAAATTATTTGTCCCATATCATTCAAGGAGTCAATGAGAAGAGTGTAAAAAGTAAGTCACACCAGCCTCTATCTCCTTGGGGAGCAGGGCTTGAAGTAAATTTGCTATCCAGAAAAATCCGTTACTTCACATAAAGATTAAAAAAAAAAAACACTGTAGAGGATCAAAGGGAGGGGGGAGGGAGAGAGTTGTTGAAGCAGAACTACTTGCCTACAGTATACTTCCACCACATGCAATGAGCATCACCAGAATTTGTAATTTAGCATATATTAATCTAAAGTAAGTGAATAGTAAATGGCTCTAACAGACTTTATGTATATACTCTGCCTTGACAAAAGATTTTTTTCTATGTTTGTGTTATAACAGGGTATAGGAACTTCCTGTATATCTGGATCTTCCTATTTTTTATTCACAGAATTTGTACCAATGTTGAGTGTGTTCATTTCTATAACAGTTATAGTATTTCTTTATAGAATAAATGGTAGAAATTATTAGGAAATAAAACTAAACTTTTGCTACTAATAATTTTTGTTACATTTATAAACGTATGAGTTGGTTTTCCCCTACAAAAATTAATTACACTGTTCTTAACAGTCAAAATTGGAAATGTCGTTGGGGATTTTCTGACAAAAAGGGTTTTTCTCGTAAAACCTTAATGTGTTGAAACCGAAACTTTCCACAGGAACATAATTACCAGCAGAAACCTGGTCTCTTTCTGGTCCAGTAAATATTTATTAATGCACAGTGGAATGGCTTCATAAGGGATTGAGAGAAACCCACCCCAGACTAGCCAACAGACTGCTATTTCGAGCACTCACTTGAGGACTGAGGTTCAAGCCCCCGGTCCATCTCAAGCAGAGGTAGAGCTTGTATATTGGTCCTCTGCCTTGTGGGTCGAGTTCTCTTACTGATGAAGAGCTATTTGGCTGTTCTGGGATAAACAACCATCTGTCTCATTCACGAAAAAACTTTGAAAGATCTAGGGTTTGTTCTGAGGTGGATAGGAAAATTGTTTTCTCAAACTTTTGCAGGACAGGAAAAAACTGTTCTCTCTGCTCTAATCAAATTGCCCTCAAATTGTAGAAGATTTATTTCTAGATTGTTTTTCGTTACTCATTTTTATAAGTATGCAGTTCCTACTCAAACATGTGCAAGTTTATAATAGAGTAGAACCTGGATAGTTTGTCATGTTAGGTTCCATAGCCCTCATCAGATTTATGAGCTGTCTCGCAGTTATATACAGCCATAGCCAACAGTTGCATGGGACCACTGAGCTGCTCCAGATTATTGTTGCAATAATTTTATCAAGGACCCCATTGTGTTTTGGTTTTTTTTTTTCATTTTGTTGTGTGGAACTGCTGCTGTGCTCTGGCTTAGCTGAGAAGTGGTACCCTTCAAAGTTAAACCCACAGCCAGCAGCTGCATAGCTATCCTTTATTGACAGCCTATTGGAAATTAAGCAGGTTCTGAATCACCTGGACACAGATGATCCAGGGTCAACTGTAGTGTACTTTAATAGTAAATTGCATAATAGACAGTTATATAGTTGTGTGTTAGTAAAGCATAATACATTGTGTTTATTGAGTAATTGGTTAATAGTGTGTTATATAGTCTTTTATGTTTTCTGTTTTTACAGTCATTACATGAGACAGATACTGGAAGCTCTGCGCTATTGTCACGATAACAACATAATTCACAGGGATGTGAAGGTAAGATTTCTCACCACTACAAAAGGCTACCTACCTATTTTGAAAGCTGTCTGTAAGAGTGGAGAAGATAATTTACATATAAAGAAAGTAACTGACACTGGTAACATTGGTAGTTTTAAGGGAAAAAAAAATCTCTTTTTTGGTTACCGTAAAAATATTTAGTAATTCTTTTTTTATTCACAAATTAAATATGTATTTGACTGCAATTTATTTTGAAAGTCATAAGACTTTCAAGTCCTGAATATTCATATAATTTCTACTTGTGAATTCATTTTAAGGAGAATTTATGTATGAAATTAATTGCGTAAATTAAATGGAAATAAGTAGAGGGTGTAATGACTACATCATTTTGACAGCTTAGTGACAGTATTCAGCAAAGCTAAGCCTTCAGAGATCTATGTTTTTGCTTAAATGAAATGTCTGTTGTATTATCTATTTATAATAGTCAAGTAATTTAAAACATTTATTTTTCTAAACATTTTCTCAAATGGCCTTTATAAATATTGTTATGGAAAAGTGCAATTTTCATCTAAAAATGGATATTGTCAATATACGACATATCAATTCCGTGTTTCACATGTTCATTAAACTCATTTCTGAGTCAATTTTGAAAGGTTTCTATAAGTGTGTGTGTGTTCAGTGTCTAGCTCAACAAGGCCCTGGTTTTGAACAAGGGCTCTGGGAATTACTGTAAGGGCAGTATATTGGGAATGTTTTCATACCAGCTGTCCTAGTTAGAAATTTTTCATGATGAAGTTTGTTAGATAATTTCCCTTTTTAAGACAGACATTTCTTGTTTCTGTGTGTACAGACAGGGGTAGGTCAAGAACTTGGTTGTAAATGCAGAACCATAAGCTATTCTGTTCTGCTTCCTACTAAAGCCTACTTTCTAAAGCTGTGTAAGTAACACCTGAGTATAATTTAGAAACCGCCAACAAACTTTTAACCCTATCAATTTCAAATGCATATACTGTCTATACAAACAATTTGAATGTCACCTCAAGAGGTGAGAGAAAAATATAGCTCCCTATTTGTACAACAGTAGCAATTCAAAAACTGAATATGGTTTGGTTTGGTGGTAGAGGCAAGTTGTGAAAAGGAAGTTCTCACATTAGAAGTGTTCGGCTATTGTACTTCACGTCCATTTGATTTTACCGGTAACAAGAAATGAGCAATGAAGAAGGGGGGAAAGGGAGTAAAATTTCAAGGCATATCACCCAAACTTATTAGTTTTGTGCCTTAAGGCCCACATGGTGAGCATCTGTTTTCTCTGAAAGATTCAGCTCCAAAGGATAGTACTTTGAGGTTGTAATGCTGTGAGAATATTTGGCTCACAGCTGGAGTGCTCTGCAGATTTTCTCCCAAGGTTTTTAGAAGGCCTTTATTTTTAGTGTCATGTTAACTTAACATACCGGAGCTTTGTGGGGGTGTTTGCACCAATAAATTTTGAGTGAAAGTAAAAAACAAAAAAACAACACAGCATCATTTAGAAAGATCTGTTGTTACTATACACATCTTTTAACTATTCATCATAAAGCTAACTTACATCAAATTGACTTATTTCTAGGTAAAATACAGTGGAGTGGAGAAAAAAGAGCATGGTTGTTTGGGAAGTGTGAAAAGGAGTATTCACTTCTCTCATGAACATTTCAAAAGTATTGGAGATGCCTTTCATAATAACACACACACAGCCCTTCAATTGACAGAGCAGTCACTTCAGAGCTCACTAAGATTTTAGTGCCTAAATGCAACAGTTTTAGCTGAGAGAGAATATAGGGCAGCTGAGCAAAGGTTTGAAGAGGATAGATATTAGAGTTTTTGGTATTATATGGAGAGCCTAACACAAAAAGGAGTGGTTTGACTTCAGGCTGAGGGATTCTAGTTACTTTTCAGAATCTTGCTGGTGCAAATGAGATGTTGCTGAATTGATGGCACTGTTTCAAAGCAGACAGGTGGGCTCTGTACTGACCCTCTGTTTGAAGGGCTCCAAACAGATGTTTTTGGCCAAAGCAGCACTTCAGAAGCAACCCTTGGAAAATAGAGGAATGTATTTTGAAGCGCTTCATTTTTTAAGCCATTCCTTAAATGTCTGCATCTTCCAGTGGTCCTCTGGCATTCCACAGTGCTTTATCTCCCCTGTGGGTGGGGGAGGAGAGCAGGATGGAGAGCCGTTGAAAACTCTTGTGCAGTTGATTGTCTGTATGAACCTTTGGAGGCTGAGAAGCCTGCAGGCTGTAGAGCAGTTCTGCTGCATGCCTTTATGGGCATTTTGAAGCATTTGGGGGCAATGTGGGAGGTGCACATCTGTGTGGTGCTGAAGCACTCACTCTGGGGTTTGGAGCATTTCAAATGCACATCCATCCATAAGCAAGCAGGCACTATAGAGCTTTTTATAATAGTGGAGGGAGGGAAGCATTCCTTTCTGTTCTTCTAAGACATATTTTTGTTTTCCCTCCCTAGAAGGAAAATTTCTCAATATAATGCAGCAAGCTTTTGGTGTTGGGAATTCTTAGGCATGTCATAGATCAATCTAAAGCTAATTGTCATGGCAAAACATGATGATGATAGATCATCACCTCAGCCCCTTGTGGAATATCTGCAGTTTTCTTATTTAGGCTGTAGCTTCTGGTTCCTTTTTGTTTGTTTACATAGGATACTGTTGTGATATGGAAAGACGCATTTAGATCTTCATGCTTCATAGGAATTTGGAAAACTCAAGTGTCAGTTTACAATTCCAGTAGATTTTTTTTCTTGTTGAATCACATTTCTTGTATGATCTACCTTTCAATACAGGTACTTTAGTCTAGCAGACATTATGTGACCCATAACTCTCATTTCTTGCAAGTCTGAATGGAAAGTTTGTTTGGAATTGTGGGATGTGTCCATTAGCCGGGCACCCTTGCTAATATGCTAAGCAATGGAATAGCTAACAACAAAGAATCCATTAGCATCAATAGAGTATAAGTTATATCCAAGGTCTGTTGGATCTAAGGAGGATAGTTGGAGAAGCGCTGAAGACTCAGAGGGGAGGGGAGCCAGGTGTCCAAGGGGAGTGGTCGCTCCTTAAGGAGACGATCCTCCAAGCCCAAGGGAAGGTAATCCCCAGGAGGGTCAAAGGGGGCAGGAGAGCATATAAGCCTCCATGGCTCACTAAAAACATCCGGGAATGTCTCCTTGCCAAAAAGGAGGCTTACTCCCAATGGAAAGGAGGGGTCATCACTAAGGAGGACTATTCAGCAGTTGCTCGGGGATGTAGGGGGATGGTTAGGAAGGCCAAGGCAGAGATGGAA